ATTTATGGGTCTAAAATATCAGAAAGTAAACCCACTGCGAAAATTTACAAAATGAGGAAGAGGGGGGTCGACGGGTGGCGGTGGGGGGCCTGTGGCTGTTTCACTTAGGCAGTAACACTGCTGAATGGACACTGTGCTAGGAGAGGGAGGGAGGGTGGGTACTCAGACAGTAAGCAGAAGAAACAAAGGAAACAGAGCTTGCCTGAAGCTACGTCATTTTCTTCTTGTGATTGTGTAAGGCATTTTAAACTGGAAAAACTTCTTTCCTTCACATTGTTCCAAATAATCATTTGGAATATAACTTGTGATTCAGAATACAAATAAGACCCCTTTCATCTCCACCCCCCACCTCCAAAATCATTCTACACACCCAGGGCCCATAAAGTACAAGGCAGGCAATTGATTTCACGAATCAGGAGGCATTGTGCTCACATGGGGCATAAGGCCACTGTGTCAAGGACACTTTTTAGAGCTTTAGCCCTGATTCCAGCCCTCTCAGGCTACAAGGGGTAAGAATCCATCTTCAGTGAGGATTTAAGTCCCAGATCCTTAGAAAAGTTCAATCTTCCAAGACTGAACCAGGAAGAAATAATGAACAACCCAATTAAAAGCACTGAAATAGAAACTGTGATTTAAAAAAATCCCCCCCCCAAAAAAAAAACAAAAGCCCAGGACCAGATGGCTTCACAGGTGAATTCTATCTAACATTTAGAGAAGAGCTACTGTCTATCCATCTAAAACTCTTTCAAAAAATTGCAGAGGAAGGAACACTTCCTAACTCATTCATGAGGTCACCATCACCCTGATACCAAAACCAGACAAAGACAACACACAAAAAGAAAACTGCAGGCAAATATCACTGATGAACATAGATGCAAAAATCCTCAACAAAATTCTAGCAAACAGAATTCAATAACACATTAAAAAGCTCATATACCATGATCAAGTTGGGTTTATTCCAGGGATGCAAGGATTCTTCAATATACACAAATCAGTCAATGTGATACACCATATTAACAAACTGAAAGATAAAAACCATATGATCATCTCAATAGATGCAGAAAAAGCCTTTGACAAAAATTCAGCACCCATTTATGATTAAAACTCTTCAAAAAATGGGCACAGAAGGAACTTACGTCAACATAGTGAAGGCCATATATGATAAGCCCACAGCAAACATTATTCTCAATGATGATAAACTGCAGCATTCACCCTAAGGTCAGGAACAAGACAAGGGTGTCCACTCTCATGACTATCATTCAACATAGTTTTGAAAGTCCTAGCTACAGCAATCAGAGAATAAAAATAAAAGGAATCCAGATCGGAAAAGAAGAAGTCAAGCTCTCACTGTTTGCAGATGACATGATACTATACATAGAAAACCCTAAAGGTACTACCAGAAAATTACTAGAGCTAATCAGTGAATTTAGCAAAGTTGCAGGATACAAAATCAATACACAGAAAAATCACTTCCATTCCTATATACTAACAATGAAAAATCAGAAAAAGAAATTAAGGAATCAATCCCATTAAGCATTGCAACAAAAAGAATAAAATATCTAGGAATAAACCTACCTAAGGAGATAAAAGACCTGTATACAGAAAATTATAAGACACTGATGAAAGATATCAAAGATTACATAACAGATGGACAGATATTCCATGTTCCTGGGTAGGAAGAATCAATATTGTGAAAATGACTATATTACCAAATGCAATCTACAGATTCAATAAGATTCATATCAAATTACCAATGGCATTTTTCACAGAACTAGAACAAAAAAATTCACAATTCATATGGAAACACAAAAGACCTAGAATAGCCAAAGCAGTCCTGAGAAAGAAGAATGGAGCTGGAGGAATCAAACTTCCTGACTTCAGATTATACTACAAAGCTACAGTCATCAAGACACTAAGCTGCTGGCACAAAAACAGAAATATAGACCAATGGAACAAGATAGAAAGCCCAGAAATAAACCCATGCACCTATGGGTACCTTATTTTTGACAAAGGAGGCAAGAATATACAATGGGGCAAAGACAGCCTCTTCAATAAGTGGTTCTGGGAAAACTGGACAGCTACATGTAAAAGAATGAAATTAGAACACTTCCTAACACGTACACAAAGATAAACTCAAAATGGATTAAAGACCTAAATGTAAGATCAAACACTATAAAATTCTTAGAGGAAAACATAGGCAGAACACTTGATGACATGAATCAAAGCAAGATCCTATATGACCCACCTCCTAAAGTAATGGAAATAAAAACAAAAGTAAACAAGTGGGACCTAATTAAACTTAAAAGCTTTTGCACAGCAAAGGAAACTATAAACAAGGTGAAAAGACAACCCTCAGAATGGGAGAAAATAATAGCAAATGAAACAACTGACAAAGGATTGATTTCCAAGATATACAAGCAACTCGTACAAAATATCAGAAAAACAAACAACCCAATCAAAAACTGGGCAGAAGATCTAAACAGACATTTCTCCAAAGAAGACATACAGATGACTAACAAACACATAAAAGATGCTCAACATCGTTCATTATTAGAGAAATGCAAATCAAAACTGCAATGAGATATCACCTCACACCAGTCAGAATAGCCATCATCAAAAAGTCTACAAACAATAAATGCTGGAGAGGGTGTGGAGAAAAGGGAATGCTCTTGCACTGTTGGTGGGAATGGAAATTGATGCAGCCACTATGGATGATGGTACAGAGATTCCTTAAAAAAGTAGGAATAAAACCACCATATGACCCAGCAATCCCACTCCTAGGCATATACCCTGAGGAAACCAAAATTGAAAAAGACACTTGTACCCCAATGTTCATTGCAGCACTATTTACAATAGCTAGAACACGGAAGCAGCCTAGATGTCCATCGACAGATGAATGGATAAAGAAGTTGTGGTACATATACACAATGTAATATTACTCAGCCATAAAAAGGAACACATTTGAGTCAGTTCCAATGAGGCAGATGAACCTAGAGCCCATTATACAGAGTGAAATAAGTCAGAAACAGAAAGATAAATATCATATACTAACATATATATATGGAATCTAGAAAGATGGTATGGGAGAATTTATTTTCAGGGCAGCAGTGGAGAATCAGACATAGAGAACAGACTTATGGACACAGGGAGAGGGGAGGAGAGAGTGAGATGTATGGAGAGGGTAAAATGGAAACTTACACTACCATATATAAAATAGATAGCCAATGTGGATTTGCTGTATGTCTCTGGGAACTCAAACAGGGGCTCTGCATCAACCTAGAGGGGTGGGATGGGGAGGGAGATGGGAGGGAGGTTCAAGAGGGAGCGGACATATGTATACCTATGGCTGATTCATGTTGAGGTTTGACAGAAAACAACAAAATTCTGTAAAGCAACTATCCGTCACTTAAAAATAAATTAGTTTAAAAAATCTCCTACTAAGAATTATTTATTTAAATTGGAGGATAACTACTTTACAATATTGTGATGGTTTTTGCCATACATCAATATGAATCAGCCATAGGCATACATGTGTCTGCTTCCTCTGAAGTCCCCTCCCACCTTCCTCTCCAGTCTATCTCTCCAGGTTGTCACAGAGCACCAGCTTTGGGTGCCCTGCATCATACATCAAACTCTCACTGGCTATCTATTCTACATATGGTAATGTATATGTTTCAATGCTATTCTCTCAAATCATCCCACCCTCTCCTTCTCTGACTGATTCCAAAAGTTTGTTCTTTATGTCTGTGTCTCCTTTGCTGCCCTGCATGTAGGATTGTCAGTACCATTTTTCTAGATTCCACATATATGCGTTAATATATAGTACCTGTCTTTTTCTTTCTGCCTCACTCTCTACAATATTACACTGCATAATAGGCTATAATAGGTTCATCTACCTCATTAGAACTGACTCAAATGGGATCCTTTTTATAGGTGAGTAATATTCCATTGTGTGTATGTAAGGAAACTATAAGCAAGGTGAAGAGGCAACCTTCACAATGGGGGAAAATAATAGCAAATGAAACAACTGACAAAGAATTAATTTCCAAAATATACACGCAGCTCAAGTAGTTCAATACCAGAAAAACAAACAACCCAATAAAAAAGTGGGCAGAAGATTTAAACAAACATTTCTCCAAAGAAGACATACAGATGGCTAATAAACAAATGAAAAGATGCTCAACATAGCTCATTACTACAGAAATGCAAATCAAAATCACAATGAGGTATCATCTCACACCAGTCAGAATGGCCATCATCAAAAAGTATACAAACAATAAATGCTGGAGAGGGTGTGGAAAATAGGGAACCCTCTTACACTGTTGGTGGGAATGCAAATGGATACAACCACTATGGAGAAGAGTATGGACATTCCTTTAAAACTAGGAATAAAACTACCATATGACCCAGCAATCCCACTACTGGGCATATACCCCGAGGAAACCAGAATTGAAAAAGACAGATGTACCCCAATGTTCATTGCAGCAATATTTACAATAGCTAGGACACAGAAGCAACCTAGATGTCCATCAGCACATTAATGGGTGACAAATGATTTTATTTTTTTATTTTTTTAAAGAGAAAAATTTTACTGAAAAATAGTAAAACCATTGACACAAGGGATTTTGAAAGCACAGAGCATGTATTTAACCATTAGCTTTACTTTAATAGGTAAATATTCACTACCTTTATTCTCTATCACATATCATAATATTTATAGTAAACCTGTCCACCTTATGGATATTGTCAATGCAAAGTTAAGCTTCTAATATCACTAACTTTTATTTTTTTGATTTTTTTTCCATTTATTTTTATTAGTTGGAGGCTAATTACTTTACAATATTGTAGTGGTTTTTGCCATACATTGACATGAATCAGCCATGAATTTACATGTGTTCCCCATCCTGAACCCCGCTCTCACCTCCCTCCCCAACAAATGATTTTAAAAAGTAAAAAAGAGGGCTCCCCTGGTGGCTCAGTGGTAAAGACTCCACCTGCCAATGCAGGAGACAAGGGTCCGATCCCTAGTACAGGAAGGTCCCACATGCCATGGAGCAACTAAAACCCATGTGCCACAACTGTTGAGCTTGTGCTCTGGAGCCAGTGAGCCGAAACTATTAAGCCAGCAGGCCCTAGAGCCTGTGGTCTGCAACAACAGAAGCCACCGCAATGAGAAGCTGCAGTACAACTACAGAGTAGCCCTGTTCACAGCAACTAGAGTAAAGCCTGCATGCAGCAATGAAGACCCAGCCCAGCCAAAAATAAATAAAATTATTATATTTTTTAAAAGGAAAAAAGAAAAGCAGAAAGGATGATCTTTTAAAAACAAAACACGGAGACATTTCTTTTCCCGGCAATGTTCTGCCGTTTTACTTGAGACATTAAACAAAAAATGTTTTATTTAGAGTTGTTGTGTTGGTTTTTCGGTTTGGACATTCATAAGACCCAATCCAAGGGTGGTGCTGGGATGTGGTTTGTGTCTGAGTGGCAATGCTGGTCAGGGTCTTTCAGATCATATGCTGGTACGGGTCTGCCTTCCCTTGGTCTGGCATGACAAAGGGGCTGGCCCAGCCTAGAGAGAAGGGGTGGCCAAAAACGGCTTTCAGGTTCACCCATGTTGTTTTCTTGACCCATCTTCTGTCTTCCTTTTTCAGTTGTTCTATTCTTGTCTCATCTGTGCAGATGGAGAGCATCTGGGTCCCGAACATGGCCGATGTGAAAATGAGGAAGAGCAGTCCCTTCAAGCCGAGGAGGATGAGGAGGGTCGTCGTTGTGGGCGAGGAGGAGCTGCAGTCTTCTTCAAAGCAATGCAGGAAGTGGAATCCCACCAAGATGAGGGTGTGCAAGGAAATGAGAGCTACATACATTGTAAAAAGGACGAAGTACTTCTGGTTCTTCTCGCCGACACAGTTGTTGATCCAGGGACAATGGTGGTCCATCTTCCGAATGCACCGCTTACAAACCCTGCAGTGGTGGGCTCGGTCAGGCTTGATGCTGCAGCATTTGGGACAGTTGTACAGCACCTGACCGGACTTCAGCTGTAAACTCTCGATGAATTCTTTAGTGGCATTTCCTTTGGGCACAGCCCCAGGGTCGGTCAACATGGCCCGGCAGTGGGAAGCCAGGGCCAAGAAGGCCAGCAGGCTGAACACGATTCCGTTAATGGCGCTGTACATGTAGTCCCCGGATGGAATCAGCATGACGAAGAGGACCACGAACTCCGTGTAGAAGACCAGAAACCAGGTGACAATGGCACAGAAAATGCCACAGCCATCGGGGATGAACCACATGGTGCCCGTCGGATAGGGGTGGGAAGGTGGGACGCACTTCTCTGACTGGAGGCACTCTGGTTTCCACTCAAGTTCTCAGAAGCGGTGGGCGGGAATAAACATTCTAAGCTATTCTGTCCATACTGGCCTTGTGAAGCTGCAGGCAGTTCCTCAGTCCCAGACTCCTGGTGTGGCTCTGATTGCCGCCACCGTCGTCGCTCCTCAGGCAGCCTCCGATCTGGGACCCGACCTCAGGCTGCAGCGACGGCTCCCCGGCAGGAGGCGCCGCAGCTTCCTGGATTCGGCCAGACAAGAAGCGGCGCGCCCATCAAGCGCCCCTCAGTGGGGTGGCGGCGGCTGCAGGAGCCGGAGCCGCCCAGCACTCATTGCCCTAAACCTTTGGAAGGCAGTTAGGCTCACCAGTATACCACCAATGTCACTAACATTTGGATTCCTCCCTCTACACTGTACAGCTGTACAGTTAACATAGGCTGCTGTTGAGTCCAGGTTTCCCTGGTGTGGTGGCTCAGACGGTAAAGAAGCTGCCGGCAATGCAGGAGACCCAGGTTCGATCCCTGGGTCAGGAAGATTCTCTGGAGAGGGGAATGGCAACCCACTCCAGTATTCTTGCCTGGAGAATTCCATGGGCAGAGGAGCCTGGCGGGCCCCAGTCCACGGGGTCAAAAAGAGTCAGACACAACTGAGCGACTAACACTGTTGAGTCCAGGTTTCAATCAGTAGGACTAATCCTAGAAATACTGCTAGCTGCTTTAGCTAACACAGTACATACATCCAGGAATGCTAAGTGCACCCATACTGAAAAGTCTGGCCCTACCCAAACCAAAGCAATCACAAGAAACTTACAAACCAATATCCCCTATGAATACAGATGCAAAAATCCTCAACAAAATACTAGCAACAGGATCCAACAGCATATTGAAAGGATTATACATCATGATCTAGTGGGATTTGTTCCCACTAGAGTGGGAACAACCAAAGAGTAGTTCAACATCAGAAAATCAATCAAGGTTATAGATACATCACACTAATAGAACAAGGGAAAAAATACATGATCATCTCAACTGGTGCAGAAAGGGCATTTCAGATGCAGAAAAGGCCTAGATCTAATAAATTCAGCAAAGCTGCAAGGAACAAGATCAACACATAAAAATCAGTTGTGTTTTAAAATGAAATGAAGAGAAATTCCATTTATAATACCATCTAAAAGATATCTGTAGGGTACTTTCTTGGTAGTCCAGTGGCTAAGACTCTGCACTCTCAATGCTGGAAGCATCGAACCAGAGTTCGATCTCTGGTCAGGGAACTAGATCCCACATGCCACAACTAAAGATGTCACATGCCACAACTAAAGATGCCACATGCCATAAGGAAGGTTGATTTTTTTTTTACTCCATAGAATGTGGGATCTTAGTTCCCTAACCAGGGATCGAACTCACACCCCCTGCATTAGAAGCTTGGAGTCTTAACCACTGGACTGTCAGGGAAGTCCCCAGATTGGAAGATTTTATATTAAGATGTTACTAATACCCAAAGCAACCTACAGATTCAACAAAATCCTTATCAAAATTCCAACAGCCTTTTTACAGATATGTGGAGATGCCAATCCTCAAATTCATATGGAATTTCAAGGGGCCTTAAATAGTCAAAACAATCTTGAAAAAGACAAATCAAATGACCAAGTGGTTTTTGACGAGAGTGCCAAGTCCATTCAGTGGGGTAAGGATAGTCTCTTCAACAGAGGGTGCTGGTGCAACTGGATTTTTATATGCAAAAAATGATGTTGGACCCATACCTCATACCTATACTATTAATTCAAAATGGATCAACAACCTAAATACAAGAGCTAAAACCACAAAACTCTTAGAAGAAAACACAGGGGTAAATCTTCATGACCTTGGATTTGGCAACAGGTTCTTTTCTAAACTTTATTTTTAGTTGGAGGATAATTGCTTTACAATGTTGTGTTGGTTTCTGCCGTACAACAACATAAATCAGTCATAAGTATACATATATCCCCTCCCTCTTGAACCTCCCCCAATCCCACCTCTCTAGGTCATCACAGAGCATGAGCCTTGAAAATATTATTCTAAGGGAAATAATCCAAACATAAAAGGACAAATATTTTAAGATTCTAGTTATATGAAATATCTAGAATTGGTAAATGTGTAGGGAAAGAAAGTAGGTTAAAGGTTACCAGGAACTAGGGGCAGAGTGGAATGGGCTTTATTGCTTAATGGGTGCAGAACTTCTGTTTGGGATGATAAAAAAAAAGTTCTGGAATTAGGTAATGGTGATGGTCACAAAACATTTGAATGTTATTAACACCACCTGACTGTATACTACAAAGTGGTTAAAATGGCAAATTTAAAAAAATTTAATTGGAGGCTAATTACAATATTGTAGTGGTTTTTGCCATACATTCACATGAATCAGCCATGGGTGCACACGTGTTCCCCATCCAGACCCTCCCTCCCACCTCCCTCCCCATCCCATCCCTCAGGGTCATCCCAGTGCACCAGCCCTGAGCACCCTGCCTCATGCATCGAACCCAGACTGGCGATCTATTTCACATACAATAATATACATGTTTCAATGCTACTCTCTAAAATCATCACACCCTCGCCTTCTCCCACAGAGTCCAACAGTCTGTTTTCTACATCTGTGTCTCTTTTGCTATCTCACATATAGGGACATTGTTACCATCTTTCTAAATTCCATATATATGCGTTAATATACTGTATTGGTGTTTTTCTTTCTGACTTACTTCGCTCTGTATAATAGGCTCGTTTCATCCACCTCATTAGACCTGATTCAAATGCATTCTTTTTAATACCTGAGTAGTATTCCATTGTGTATATATACCACAGCTTTCTTATCCATTCGTCTGCTGATAGACATCTAGGTTGCTTCCATGCCCTGGCTATTGTAAACAGTGCTGCGATGAACATGGGGGTGCATGTGTCTCTTTCAATTTTGGTTTCCTCGGTGTGTACGCCCAGCAATGGGATTGCTGGGTCGTATGGCAGTTCTATTTCCAGTTTTTTAAGGAATCTTCACACTGTTCTCCATAGTGGCTGTACTAGTTTGCATTCCCACCAACAGTGTAAGAGGGTTCCCTTTTCTTCGCATCCTATCCAGCATTTATTGTTTGTAGACTTTTGGATAGCAGCCATTCTGACTGGCGTGAGATGGTACTTCATTGTGGTTTTGATTTGCATTTCTCTGATAATGAGTGATGTTGAACATCTTTTCATGTGTTTGTTAGCCATTTGTATATCTTCTTTGGAGAAATGTCTGTTTAGTTCTTTGGCCCATGAAATGGCAAATTTTATGTTATATATATTTTACCACAATTAAAAATGTTTGGCCCAATCTAAAATTGTATTTATTTCCCTCTGATCTATCATGCATAGAATCAATTCTCACATATATTATTGAGGTTTCTGCCAACATAAATTAGGCTTTCTTCTCACAGGTCTGACATACAGGAGTCTGAATCCAGTAATGGGGATGGAGGCACCAAAAGGTGATATGAATGGATCTTGAGAAAGATCAGCCAAATCATTGGAGGCTCCCCAAGTCACTCAGGTCCAGTCCCATTAGACTGGGGAGGAAGGGCTGCCTCTGCCACCAAGGGAGCCTCAGTGGAAGCTGGTGTTTAGGGATGGCTCAGGTTAATGCAAATCAACTTTGGTGTTCCAATTTCAATTGCCAAGGTCCCATTCTTCCAGCGACCAGCAGACTTTAGGTTTCACATAAAAGACCTGGAGATGTGTTGAATTCCGCCTGTGGTGTAATTCAACAACCTGCGGTATTTGGCTTTATGACTGATTTCAGGCTACATCAGTCTGGTGACTAGAAGAGATACAGAGGGTTCTTGTTTGTTTTTTAATATAGGCTTTATTTTTCAGAGAAACTTTTAGGTTCAGGCCCTGTTGTCTGTCCCATGTCAGTACCATCTATACTGTCAGTTTTTAATTTTTGCCAATTTGAGAAGCATAGTATCTCATATGGTTTAAATTGGCATTTCCCTGAAAACTAATGAAATTGAGCACCTTTTCGTGGACACTTACTGGCTATTGGATAGTCTCCTGTGAAATGTTCATTCAAATCTTTCAAATATTTTTTAATTAAAAAAATTTATTGGCCACGGCTTGTGGGATGTTGAGTTTCCCGACCAGGGATCGGACCTGGGCCCTTGGCAGTGAAAGTATGGAGTCCTGTCAACTGGACTGCCAGGGAATTCCCTGTCGAATATTTTTCTATTGATTATAGATCTTTTATTGAACTGTAAGATTTCATTTTATAATCTGGATATGAAATCTTTGATGGTTTTAAATGATGAAAATATATCTTTTCCCATTCTGTAATTTACCTTTGTGCAGTTTATGGTATTTCTAGGTGAAAATAAGTGAAAGTCGTTCAGTTGTATCTGACTCTTTGCAACCTCATGGACTATACAGTCCATGGAATTATCCAGGTCAGAATATTGGAGCAGGTAGCCTTTCCCTTCTCCAGGGGCTCTTCCCAATACAGGCATCGAACCCAGGTCTCCCGCATTGCAGGTGGATTCTTTACCAGCTGAGCCACAAGGGAAGCCCAGGTGAAAATAAGTTATTATTTTTAATGTAGTCCATTTTATCAATCCCTTCCTTTTATCATTAGTAATTTTGGTGTCTTGTTTAAGAAATCTTTTACTATCCCAAAGTCAAAAATATATTCTCCTATGTTATCTTCTTTGCTTTTCACATTTAGGTTTATAACTATTTGTGAATTATTGATTTTTTAGATATGTGAGGTAAACATTCAATTTAGGTGTTTTTGTTTGTTTGCTTGTTTTCCTATTTGGACACCCAATTGTCTCAACATCATTTACTAAAAAAAAATTGCCCCGGCACTACTGTTCTCCAGTGCTACATTTTTGTTAAATCACATATGCAACTATACATGGTTCTTTTTCTGAGTGGTTTGTTCCACTAGGCTAGTTTTCTATCCTTGTG